CTCTGATAACAGGCAGCAGTGCTGGGGCCAGGCAGCTCTGCAAAAGCTGGTATGTGCAGGGAGCCAGCCTGAAAGCTGGCTTCCCATGTGTACAGGCTCCTGCCTGTCCCCCCTTCCCCCGTCCTTCCTCGCACTACTGCCTCTCTATCAGAGGCAGCAGCGCAGAGAGCAGATAGTTCCAGGGCAGCTGAATTTTAAGCTGGCTCCTACCTGCCCCTTCACGCTGCTGTCTGTGGGAAGGGGGAGCAAGCATGGGAGCTGGCATATGTGGAGAGCCAGCTTAAAAGCCAGCTCCTCATGCATACCTCTCTGCTGCCTCTGTGGAAGGCTTTGCAGGTGCCATTTTGTAAAAAGTTACACACTAACACCATACTTTACTTCGTGTTGAATAAAATTTGAAATACATTTTATGTTACTTCTGAATAGTTCTGAGCCATGGACATCTGTGGGACAGGTAGTGTATTGTTACGCTGCATGTCTAGAGTGTGTGGGCATGCATGCACACAGATGGAATTAGGGATGTCCAGCTCCAGTTAACTGATAGGGGCTGGAGCAGCTCCCTATCTGCCCAGGGTCCCACTGCGGGTTTCACACTGGATTCCTTTGGGCTTTTTGCTGCATACTGCAGAACCTGCAGCGAAGGTGCCCCAGGAGCCTGCTTTTTTATGGGCTCTGTAATACAGGCTGGACCTCTCTTGCCCAGCACCCTCGGGACCTGACTGGTCCCAGATGAAGCAATTTGCTGGTCAAGGGGAGATCCTTTGATACCAGCCCCTCAGCTCGCTGCCTCTCCCCACTGCTGGCTCCTTCAGTGCAGCTAGGCTGTCTACAGGTCAGCCCCAGCCACACTGATTCTGCCAGACTGCTGTGGCCTTGGCTTGCTTCCTCTTGTGGGCTGCTGTGGCAGCAATCCCAGCCCCAATGCAAGGTGACAGGCAGCCCCAATCACACTGCCTCTGTCGCCCAGCCTGCTGCAGCCCCACTGCCTCCCTGGATGACATGGCCCGGCTAGATTTCTCCTCTTGGGCTGCTGAGGTCTGGGCTGCACTGCTGGGCAGCAGACAGCCCTGATCAAGCTCTTCCCAGACTGCTGCAGTCCCACTAGTAGACTAGCAGGGTTGCACCAGACTCCCAGCTGCTGGCCCTCCTGCCCTGAAGCTCTCTCATTCAGGAACATCTGTGGTCATACTGAACCATACAGATGTTGCTGGATGAGAGAATCCCAGATTTGTGAGGTGCAACCTGTATTAAAATTATATAAATTGGCAGCACATATAATGGCTAGGATTTTTAGCAGTTACATGGTTACATTTTTAAGGGATTTTTTACATCCCTAGTTAGAATATCTGATATTAAGCCAGTATTAGATACAATTTGAAAATGTGAATTGGACTCTGAAAACTGAAACTGTCCCATGATTTTCAATGACATTTAAGAGGCCAGGCCCAAATTTTTAAAGGCGATTAGGCTTTCTGCATGGTTCAGGGGGGGGGGGGGGGGGGGGAGGAGAAGTACAGCACAAAATGGGGTCTGGCTGTGGTGTAGTGATACTTCATCCCTTTCTGATTTGCAAAAGATACTCAAATTAAAATAGCCATATTTCATTTACCCCCCTTATTCAGAGTAGCGAGGGCACTGTGTGTTAGAGATGCTGTGGGAGTAGAGCACTTCCTATGGCTATAGAGTATTCTTTTGTTTTGTTTTTTTTTGTTCCTGCAGGATTGTTACTTTTAGGTCTCCAATAAGAACAGTGTAGGACTGGAAGGTAACCTTAATAGGCCATCTAGTCCACTCCCTGCACTAAAGCAGGATGATGTTATAACTAGACCATTCTTGATTGGTGTTTTTGTCTAATCTGTTTTTAAAAACCTCCAGTCACAGAGATTTCACAGCCACCCTATTCAATTTGTACCAGTGATTAACGACTCTAAAAGTTTGGAGGTTTTTCCTAATGTCCAACATAAACCTTCCTTGTTGTATTTTTAAGCCCGTGGCTTCCTGTCCTAGCCTGAGAGGTTAAAGAGAAATAACATCCTCTTTGTAATAAGGCTGTTAAGTAATGGTTAATTGGCTAGTCAAGTAATCGATGGAATTTCCATCGACTAGTGGATAGGCACTTCCACATTCCTCCTTTGAAATGTACAAGAGTCCCTGGTTAGGCTCTTGTACATTTCAAAGGTGGAATGCCAAACTCCACATACAGGAAATCCTGCTGACTCTGGGCTGCACATGGTGTGCCTGCTTTGAAATGTACAAGAGTCCCCAGTGGGGGCTCTTGTGCATTTCAAAGCGGCAGTGCAGCATGGAGCACAGGGCTGACCCCGGGCTCCATGCTGCGTTGCCAATTTGAAATGCCACGTGGAGCTGGGGTCAGCTGCATTTCAGTGGCATTTCCCCAGAACCCAAGATCAGCTGGGGAGTCTCTAGCTGACCCTAGGCTCAGTTGTGCAGTGCTACCCCTGTTTCAAAGTGGCAGCACCACACAGCTGAACCTGGGATCAGCTGTGCGGCAGTGCTGTGCATGGAGCCTAGCATAGGCTGGGGACTCCCCAGCTGATCCCAGATTCTGAGGAAATTCAGTGCTGGAGCCTAGGATCAGCTGGGGAGTCCTCAGCTTATTCCGGGCTCAGCTGTGTGGCACTGCCGCTTTGGAATTACTTTTATGCTCTCCTCTGGACTTTTTCCAGTGTGTCCACATCTTTCCTGAAATTTGGTGCCCAGAACTGGAGGCAATACTTTTCTTCTAGTAGAGGAATTCTCTCTTCTCTCTCTCCCTCCCCACCTTTTGCTGCCTCTGTCTGATGGGGGGGGGTGACTATTCGACTGACTGTCCAATAAGCATTTATTTCTCAGATAGTCGACTAATCCTTAACATCCCTACTTTGTAACATACTGTTATGTCCTGTAGAACCTCAGAATAATGAACAACTTGGGAATGGTGGTTTGTTTTTAACTCTAAATGTTATGGCTTTTTCAAACTTTAGAACTGAGCATTGACTTAATACAGCTTTGACAATTTACATGAAGAAAAATGCTGCTTTTAACAGTATTAATTTAAATGAAGTAAGCACCGAAATAGTTTTATTATCTTGCCAAATCTTTTTTTCAACATTTTCATTGTTTTTAGTAGTTTTGTTAAACAGCATTGTACAGGCAGTCCCCGAGTTACGCGGATCCGACTGATGTCGGATCCGCAGTTACGAACGGGGTTTTTCTCGCCC